TATGTTCTTTTTCATACTGGTGGGCATCATTATAACCAGTACTTTGCCATTTCATTTAGCTCTTTTCTGGAGATTCCTCCTGTTTACTCATTTGGGGCATGTTTCTTTGTCTCCTTATTTTGACTACCTCTTTGTTTCTATGTATTACATAGATCTGCTATGACTTCCAGTCTCAGGTGTCCTGTGTAGTAGGTGTCCTGTGGAGTCCAGTGGTGCAGGCCACTTGATCACCTGAGCTGGGTGCTCCAAGAATGCCTATTGTGTCAGTTATATGAACTCTCCTGTTGTAATTGAGTCTTATTTACTACTGGCTCATTTGTACATGGAACAGACCCTCAGGCTTGCTGACTGTGAGGCTTAGCTCCAACTATGGTGTGCGAGCTGTTGTGCAGGTGCTGAACACACAAAGCAGAATTCATCTTAGCAGGGTTTGGTGCCTGCCAAGATCTCTCTTTAGATTTTCTGCTTGTGAAGTTTATTGGATCCTGCTCTAATGTTGTCTGTAGCTGGTCACTGAATGCATTAATTCTGGGTCTCTTGAGAGGTACTCGTGTGCATGCCAATGTCAGATGTAGCTGTGATTGGCCCTAGGCAACCTATTTGTAGCTATAAATCAATCCACAGGTTGTGGCTGCCTCTGCTGGGCCTGGGTGTGCATTGCAAGAACCAAGTTGTACGCCATGGCCAGCACCTGGCCCAGGGTCATTTTAGAAAAAGTCCCAAGGCACCCTGAGATCTGTTTTCACCTGCCTCTGCTTGCTGGCTGCCTATTAGGCTCAGTCACTGAAAGAGCCTCTGGTGGTACTCAAGTTGCATGAGGTAGGTTCAGTTTGTCACCACATAAGGGTGAGTCTTGTTCACCAGATTGATACAGGTTAAAACTCAGTTTCAGTGCTGGGTCTGAAGCCACTCCACAGATGTCCCCGGATATATCAAGTCTAGCTGCTGCCCACTCAGTGCTCACACATCTTTGTGTTGGGGTGGGGTCTCAGGGAGTCATCAGGGTGAGGCCAGCAGAGTTTATCAGGCCGAACAAACCAAGTTGGCCAATGTGAAGGCCAATGAGGGCTCTGCTTTGGCCAGGTGTGCAAGGGATAAATGTCCTCTGTCCTAGAGTCACACAACTCAGTTTGTCCCAGATTCTGCTTTAAAAGAGAGAGCTCAGCAGGGTAAGACCTCAGAGAGTTGGGAGGATGGGACTAATTGATCTCCTGTAAGGGGGAGGTGCTGATCAGGCTTCAGGGAAGGGGGAGGTGTGTGGCCCTGCCCCAGAGCCACACAACTCAGTGTGTCTTGGATTTTGCCTTGACCTCAGCAGTGCAGAGCCACTAATAGTTGGGCAGGTGGGGCTCTTGGAGCTTGGACAGTGGGTCCCTCAGAAGTCTGAAAATTGAGATTAGTGCTCCTCTTGTGAGGGGGAAGCACCAGTCAGGTTCACAGGAAAGTAGGAGGAATGGCCCCACCCCAAAGCCACTCGACTCAGTCCCTGACATCCCGAGTCTGCCCAAACCTCTACACTCTGGCCAAGGCAGCTGACTCCTCAGCAGGGCATAAACTTTGTAGGGTGGGGTGAAAGGGAGTCCACAGGGTGAGGTTATTGCTTTCCCTCAGGCTGATACCACGTGGAGGGTAGTGCTCCATCTAAGAAATGTGGCCTCTATAGTATGGGAGAATTATTCAGCACAGGGATCCTGGTGGCTGTCCCTTCAGTTTCCTCCCCATGGAGTAGGCAGTTAGACGGACATGAGCAGAGTGAGGACTATGGGCCAGGTACAGAAGGTCACCAGTGTGGAAAGCCCTAGGTGCCTAGCAAGGACAATTGTAGGGTGGGGTCTCACCCCAGGGTGACCTTTCCTCCCCTAGCATATTGCTGGTCCTGTGGTTTGGCCCCCCTGGCTGTTCCTCTTAGAATAACATCTAGGCCTTAGTTGTATTTCAACTCCAGGTCCAGAAAAGCAGCAAAACCAGACAAGTGACCCTATTACTGACCTCAGGGCCAGCTGCATTGGAAAATGACCCTCTGCCCAGGCACATACCAATCAATCAGTGGAGACCTAGACCCTGAAAAGACACACCTGGAAAGCTACTGAATATTCTATTCAGATCTTCCCCTGGGACCTCCCCTAAGATTTCCTCCCTTAAAACCCTTAGGACAGAGAACCCAGTGTGCTCTCTCTCCCAGGAGCAGGCCCTTTCCCTCCCCCTCCCCCACCCTCCAGACACATTACCATTACCTTCCTCAGAACCAAGCTCCAAGGGCCCTTTCTTTACCTTTTATTAAACAAATCACTTGTATCCTAAGCCCATTTCTTCTACGCATTACTTCTTTTACCTCTGTGATTTTGTAAATAAATGTTCTGTTATGGTTTGAGTTTTGGCTTTGAATTCTTTTTCAGCTAGAACCCAAGTACCAAGGTAGCTGAACCCAGGTAGTCTGACCCCATCAGTCTAACACCCCGTGCCGTTTCCACCTCCCACAACACCCAGAGCCACAAACCCTCGACTCTCCTCACGCTACTCTAGACCCCTTGGCCCTCCCTTGCCAGGGCGCACGGTGAGCCACTGCCAATGAATTTTGCGCATTGGCCCTTTAAGAGAGAGAGTCTGTGTGTCCAGTGGACTGCTGTCGCTCCCTGGTGGACAGAAACCTTGCTGCTTTTCACAGCCAGATGTTATGGTGCTCTGGGCTGGGGAGCTCAACTTGGGGCTTAGGCCCTACACTTCTCAGGAGGAACCCCCACAGCTGGGACACCCTGAGGAGCCTGTCACTGCCAGTGGAGCAGGGCCAGGCTTTTTTATGTCTCCATCCTTTCTACCAGTCTCAACGTGGCTCCTTCAGCTAGTCTCCACTTGGCTGTTAACAATGATTGTTATAAGGTCCCTGGCAAGGTGAGTCCCTGGCAGCCCAAGTCCCTGGCAACCTGAGTCCCTGGCAACCCAAGTCCCTGGCAACCTGAGTCCAAATCTCCCATCTTGGTAGGAGCAATCACAGAAGCGGGAACTTGGCAACCTACAAACCACAAAGGGACCGGACCACAAGCCCCTGCCAAGCCACAAACGACCAGCGAGAACACCTGTACCTGACTCCAGGAAAGAACAAACAAGATTGATTGTTTACCCAACTCCCCAGTCCCCCTCCCGTCCCACTAAACCCTACAAAAAACAGCCTCTACCCCTCAGGGGTGGTGACTGCCCACCGAGCGGCACCCCACCTGCACCCAGGTGGTTTTCAGTAAATCTGTTTTTAACTCTCAACAGGCCTCCTACATCTTTGCCTTGGCAAATCCCTCTAACAATTGTCCTGTAGTTTAGCTGTAATTCCAGTTTGGTCCTGGGAGGCCGAGAGCGTAGCTTCTACCTACCCACCACCATCTTGGACTCTCCCTGTATTTCCACTGTTTGTTTTCCCGTTTTTTCTTACCGAGGTAAACTGGTGGTTTCTACGGCTGTGTGCCCTGTTTCCCCTTTTTATGTTTTGTAAATCTACTATAGGTTTTTGCTTTGTGATTACCGTAAGGATACATCAAACATCTCATAGATAAAACCATCCATTCATGCTGATAGCAACTTATTTTTATTCATCTGTGAAGGCTCCACCCTTTCTCTCCTGCCCTTTTATTTTTTGCTGTTACAACTGACCTCTTTTTATGCTGTGCATTTGTTAACAAAGTATAGTAGCTATACTTATGTTTAATACTTTTCCCCCTTAATCTGTATACTATAGTTAAATAATAAATAAAACAAACTGTTATAGAATTGGCGTTTTCAAAATCTTATTATAAAAAAAAATCACCTTTACCAGTGTGTGTACTTCCTTTTGCTTTTTGGTTTTAATCCTCAAGCAAGGGTATTTTTTCCATTGCTTTTCAGGGGGAGTGGAAGGTGCAGAGAGATCTACTTAGATCGGCTGCCTCCCGCCCGGGAGGGGCCAGGGACCGAGCCTCCAACCAAGGCAGGTGCTCGCGGCCGGAGTCGGACCCCAGGCCCTTCGGTGCGCAGGCCGGCGCGCTAACCACCGAGCCACCAGCCAGGGCCGCGCACTGTCCTAGCTGGTCGCTGCGCCTTCTTTCACTTCAGCTTGAAGCCCTCCCTTCAGCACTTCTTGGAAGGCAGATACAGCCATCAAGCATGGGGCAACGCGCGGGGTAGACGAGCGACGTGAGGAACGCAGGGCTGCCC